CTACCCCTACCAACCTACCGACATAGGCGTTCCCTAAGTCCGGTTAATGTGGTTAATATCTGAAGCACTGCGACGAGGACCGAACGGTTTGAGGACTCGGACTACGATTATATATTCCCTCGGACCATGATATAAACGTTCCCTATGCTTGCATATTGTACTCAAACCTCCTCCTATGTTGATATCCATGTTATCACTCACACATTGATATATGTGTTTTCTGAGTTTCATAGAATCTCAAGACAGCTTGACTGCACCCTTTGTGCAAGGTATGATCCCATTCGCAGAAATGCATGTGATGAACTTGTCTCTTCCATAGGAGGAAGCCCATGCCATTTTCAATATTGGTGTACATAAGATAGGCAGGTCATCTTCATAAGATAGGTAGGGCATCTTCTTATATATTTTGTTTTGCCGTTTCTTCCATTTAAAACTTCAATATCATTATCATAAATACTTATATTCCTGGAGCAATCATGTTCCAAATGTGCTGGCTCATAGCCTAAAGCCAAACAAAAACCATACAATACTGTAGAATCTTAATAGACTCAAAAATCAACCAACTCCCTTAGATCCTAGATAACACAGGCAGACCTGATAATTCCTTCCACAATTGTTTCATAGATATATCATATCAACTGCACAGAAGAGTGGGAGAGAGATGGAACCCACCAAGCTTCTCCATGCAGTCGTCATGTTCCCATTCATGGCAAAAAGCCATTTCCAGCCATTTATTGAACTCGCAAAGCCCCTAGCTCACCAAATTGGCCTCAGAGTCACTACCGTCAACACCCCTCACAACATTGCCACACTCCAATCCATGCTACCCCCATCCTCGCAGCTCTCCCCTTCAATGGCCCCAACCACGGCCTTCCTCCCAACCTTGAAATCACTGACTCCCTCCCCTATTCCCTCTTCCCTGCCTTCTTTAAAACCACTGAAACCCTCCTCCCCTCTTTCCAAAACCTCATATCTAAAATCTCCAAACAAGATAACCTCCCTCCTTTATGTTTAGTCTCTGACATTTTCTTGGGTTGGACTGTCGAGGTAGCCAACAATCTCAACATCTTCCACACTGTGTTATGCACATCAGGAGCTTATGGGACTGCTGTCTACAACTCTGTGTGGACACACATGCCCCACATCTACACCGAATTTGAACACATTGCTCTCCCTGACTTCCCTAAAACAACTCTCCATCGCTCGCAACTAACTAATGAAATGAAGCTTGCAGATGGAACTGACTTTGCATCTGTCTTTCTTAGACGCCACATAGCTTATTGCATGCGCACTGGGGGCACCTTGTGCAACACTTTGGAGGGACTCGAGGGAATTGGCATAGAGCAGCTAAGGAAGACGACTAAAACGTCGGTTTGGGCGGTTGGACCATTGCTGCCCCGTTCCCTCATAAACCCTAATTTTATGGAAAAAGGCACTGATGAGCATGTGTGGAGAGAACAGGGTCTCGAGACAGTGGTCTGCGTAGAAAGGATGGACCAATACCCACCCGCCTCAATTCTTTATGTATCATTTGGTTCCCAATTCAACATTTCGGAGAAACAGATGAAGGACCTAGCATTGGGACTCGAGGCCAGTGGGAGGCCATTCATTTGGTCCATTAGGCCACCTCTAGGTCTACCCAAGATAGCAGAGTTTAGCAGCGAGTGACTCCCTGAGGGATTTGAGGAGAGGGTGAGGCACAGGAAGCAGGGACTTGTAGTGAAAAGATGGGAACCTCAGCTATAGCCATTCTCTCTCATAGGTCGACAGGTTGTTTTCTAAGACATTGTGGGTGGAACTCAGTGATGGAAAGTCTGAGCAAAGGGGTTCCAATAATTGGGTGGCCTATGGGAGCTGAGCAATTTTTCAATGTGAAACTATTGGTGGAGGAGGTGGGAGTGTGCATCGAGTTGGGAAGGGGGCAGGAGGAGGTGGTGGGTTGGGAAAAGGTGGAAAGGGCCGTGAGAGTGGTGATGGGAGATGAGGAATGAAATAAGCTGCGAAGGAAGCCAAAGGGAGTGCAGGAGATGTTTTGGAAGGCAGTTGGTGTGGAAGAAGGGGGCTTTCTATGGGATCGCAAGTGTCTGCATTGCGGGATTCATTGAAACTGCCCGTACCTCCACTATGCAGAGACTCCATTGAACTCTGGTTCTTTTGCTGGGTAAGTTCAAATTTGAAGTGGACCACGAAGTGTGAGGCCTTGATGCCTTACCACAGAGCCAGTGCATCAAACTTTGGTGTACCACTTCTCATGATTCATGAAGAATTGGGCATCTACAGTTTGTATTGCTGAGTATCTGATGCCTTGGGATAGTTCTCTTCTTTTTTTGAGAATATTCACATTGGGATAGTCCTGTTCTTTTGGAAGGAAGATACCATGGTTATGGCGAAATCACAGGTGCATTTCTTTTTTTTCTTGCCAAGTAGGTGCACTCGCTCTTGCAAAAAAAGAACCAAGAATGACAAGCAACAAAAAATAGATGATCAATCGCCTGACCTAGAATGGATAACCATGATTTACAATGGTTGATGCAGTAAGCACAAAACGATATGGATATGGAGGTTCTAAGAGTAGGCCAACCATATGGAATATGTGTACTTCTTCACATAGCTAGATATAAAAATGTGCAGATAACTCCACAGTGCACTTGGTACATAATACGAAAGTCACGTGAAAATAACAATACAGAAATTTTTTGTTTTCACACAAAACAGCCATGAGTAAAACCAATTCCTTACCCTCACAGCTCATGCAAAAACACACTTGCAGACATATATGTGGAAAAACATACACATGCATCTAAATAGACTCATTCATCTGTGAATACCTACACACATGCCCTCCCCACATCACAAAGACAAACTTATCACACAAAAACACAAGCATTAGCTCATAAATGCATGAGTGCGAGTTGGACATGCATTCAAATACTGGTAGCAAAGTTAGCAACAACATGCATAAGCATCCACTCATTTGTAGAACACAGACACATAGTGATACATACATAAGCTAAGATATGCATGCAGGAAATACATCTATTTTCATGCATATCGTGCATGTGCGTGTAACAACCGGCCAAAACACAAAATGAATAGGGCAGCAAGAAAGATCGTGGCAGCAGTCAAAACTTGAGGGGTGTTCTAGAAAGTGAAAAATATTAGGTTAAAATCTGTGGTTGAACTGGAGGACATAGGTTCGAGGTGACCAAATTGATCAATAATGCACAACTAGAGAAAAGACTGATTTACATGTATTGATTAAAGAAAGAAATGAAAAACGATTGAACAATGGGATATTCCAAACCTGTATCTTAATTTTGTGTCAAATAATTTCAAAGTGAGCAACAGCATGTCACTTGACCACATGGCTGACCAGTAAGACCCTTGAGATTCCTTCTAATTCGTTAATTTGCCAAATATAATTACCAATACTCACCACAGGACCTTGTACAAACAAGTCAATCATACGGCAATTTCAAAGTGCAAGTCTATGACATGCATCTGACAAGTATTTTGACAATGTACATATCAAGAGGCACATATAAAAACCCTTAGGACCTCTTGATGAATGTGGATATTGAAGGAGCAAAAACTCCAAATACATCTGCATATTGCGAGTCAGGCTCTTCATGCCTCTTGAGGAAGTTTGAATTATTTAAACTTCATCAGAGAGGAATTGTTTTGGTAATTGACTTTCATTCATTATAAGAATGATTATACACCAAGTTTGTACCAAACAGAAGGACATTAGGAAACACACATGCAACAAAAATATTGAAGAAATGGAAAACAAAGAAAGCCAAGGGAAAAAGCAGGCAAAGGGTGCAGGTAAGAAATTGCAAGAAAAACGAGTGAAACAAAAGAAAAATAATGAGAAGCTGTAATTTCCAGAAAAACTAAAAGTACATATAAAAAATAACAGTGATTCAAATTGAGTTTAACTTAACATTTCCAAATTTATAAAATAAAATTGGTGTCCATTTAAGGGTATTATGATTCGATATAGGTTGAAATTCTCTCTACTTCTTTAGAGTACTATGATTTAAAGTATTTTTCAAGAAAAAAAGGAGTGCTCATATATACTCGCAAGAGGTAATGAAAGCATATATTGAGCATGGTTTTTAACTTGTAATTTTGGAGATCACTCAACACCCTCTACATCCACTTGTACTGTTTGAAGGCTACTGTTTCCCATGTAGAGATTGATTCCGATTGGTCCTACTTGGTCCAGAACTCATCTTGACACTCATTTGTAATGTCTTGAAGGTTATATGCATTGATGATTTGCTCACAATTCAAAAGAAATTTCTTATTAGCCTTATATTGCGTGAGAAAAAATTTGAGAAATTTTATTTCTTCTAAGGAAGAAGTTTATATAAGGATGCAACCTTATAATGTAGAACTACGGATGCACCTCAAAAATCCATCGGAAAAGGTAGTTTTAATGTTGAAAAACCCTTTGATTGGTCATCTCGACATCGAGATGTATGGCCATGAAAAATAAAAGATTTTAAGTCTCAGAAATAGTGCATTTTACAACATATTATCTACAGCATCCATTTTCAAGATTTTCATATGTTTATAGATCTACTTGATTTTAATCATTTTTTAAATTTAAAATTTTATAATTAGATATAAAATTAGATTTTGAGATAATCCTAAGAACATTTTACATCAAAATTATATACCATGATAAAATTTGAAGGTGCACCTTACCTCTACACCTACGGATGCATCCATAAGCCAACTGCATCCTTCTTCTAAAGTTCACAACTTATGATCCTAGTCTTACACAATGGTCATAACTTTGATTTTTAACATGGTATCATATACTAGTGCTTCATATAATGATGCTTAGGGTTGTAGAAGTTTCTGGATGCCAGGAAAATATCAAACATCATTAATCATATTCATCCATATTCAACATCTAATTCATGATTATTTCAGCTAAAGTTTTAAAAGTAGTTTTGAGTTTCTTTAAGGGTAAACTTCTTATTTGGCACCATATATTTATGAGAACTTCGAAAGGGGCACTTTATTTCAGACTATTGCCAGACAACTGCCTGGTTTTCTAAATCTTTCGTCTACATCAGGTTTTTTAGAACTTTTTACTACGTGCTCCCAAATATACTCGTTTAACTATCCCTGCAACTGTGACCAAGCCCCTCTGGACCTTCTTTAAAGTCGGTACCAGCTAAAGATTGCCTTCAATCTTTCTCTAAAAACCCAAAACTCCAAGGTCTCAATTCTTTCTTTGTCTACCATATAAAAGACTGCCTATTCTGCCTCTGTACCAGCACATTCAAATATACCTTCCTCTATATTCAAAACCTCCATCATATCTTGATGTCTCACTCTCTATATCCAAAATCCCACATATATAGCACTCTCTGGCTCTCTCTTTCTTAACTCTCCAAACAACAGTCAAATTCGTGGTTCTTCTACTTGATGAACTAATAAGCACTGAAATTCTCCAAATAGTGGTAAACCCATCAAGGAACAAAGAAAACGTCAAGCAATAACAAAAACTAGTAAGGGAAGGGAGAAGGAAGAAATCGTGAGAATAAATAGGGATCTCACCCTTGAAATTGTATATTATCTATTCCAATTTGGGAAATTTTACGTGCATATCCCCCGGAATTCCAGTATTTAGTAGATCTCCACAATATTTCTATTTTTACATTCATACCCCTTTTTTCCTTTTTGTCAATTTTTTACCAAATTGCCCTACTTTGGGCATTGAAAGGTCCGAAGTTAACTCTTCTCCCAAAAACAAAAAAGTTAATTTCTGACCCTCAGTGTCCGAAGATTGTTTTTGGGTTAATTTTACTAGGAACAAAGTTCAATTTTGGCCCTTCAAGGTCCACAATAGGGACGATTTGATAAAAAAAGAAAAAAGAAGTATAAATGTAAAACCTAAAAGTTGGAGATGTTTTAAATAAAAGGAATTTGGGGCATATTTTTGTAAATTTCTCTTCCAAGTTTGTACGCACGAATATTCCTCCCCCTAAAAAACATCATTATCTGAGATGCTACCTTTTACCTTCTGCAATCATTATCAATGAAAACAGATTTTTGACATTATTACTCAAATTAATAGGTGTCTTGGAAAAGAATTTTCATCAAATTTGTAGCTGATTTGGAAAAAAAAGTCCAGGATCACTGGTTCTCCTAGCCTTCCTTTCTAATTTGGGATGCAAGTAATTTGGAGATGAGGCTTAGCAAAGAGGAAAAAGGAAGACAGGGGGAACGGAACATAAAATGTAGTAAAAGGGAGAGAATGGAAAATCATGGAACTTTCCATTTAGGGTATTTTGAGAAGACCATTTGAGGGTATTTTGTTGGAACGCAAAAGTCCCAAAACTCAAACATTTAGGTATATATGGGTGGTGATTTTGAAATAACTCAAATGAAGATGGTTTGAAACTATGGTGGCAAAAATGAGGTTTTCCCTTCATCTAGAACCATGGTTAGCGCATACCAAATAATTAGCAGGCTTCCAAAACGCAGACTTTACATCTCCAACAGTCAATCTGGCTGGTTTCTGGTAAAATTTATTATATTGTATTTTCAAATTGTGAAGCAAAACAGACAAATGACAAGTATGAATACAGTTTCTTGAACTAGGGAATCTTGGGGAAATAGAATAGGTATCAACTTGAAGCATT